ATCCAGCTCCGAAAAACCGAACCTAGTACAACCCAAGTAGGGTACCAGGTCCCACGTATAGGAAAGTCGGGACTGAAACCAGCTGGTCCCGATCGATCTCAACTGTTAATTTGATGAAATCTTTTCTCATTTCCCTATTGGTTGACAACTTAACAGCTCTTTTAAAACTCTTCACTTTAAAAAATGATTTCAAAAAATTCGAGACTGAACTGCCGTGTCATTGACCAGTTCGGACAGGGACTGTCAGGTCGTTGACGAGACGACGTGGGACCGCCTAATTATCCATCAGACAAAGCACATACAGACCGTCGGGTCATTGGTCGAACGGGATGGGGACCGCCTGATCGTTGATTGGGAAGGACGGGGACCGCTGGGTTGTGGACTGGACAGAACGAGGACCACTGGATCGTTGACCAGACTAGACGAGGATCGCCGGGTCGTTGACCAAACTGGATCGGACCGGGACTGCCCGACCATCGACCTGACCGAACAAGTACCGCTTGGTCGTGGATTGGATCGAACCGGACATGGATCTTTGGGTCATCAACCAGACCGGATAAGGACCGATGGGTTGTGGACCGGATCGGACAGGGACCGCCTGTCGTCGACCGGACCAGACAGGGACCGTCAGGACATTAACTAAATCGGATCAAGATTGCTCAGTCGTTGACCAGACCGGACAGGGACCGCCGGGTCAATGACCTGACCGGACCGTCGGGTTGTTGACCGGACTAGATAGGGACCGTCGGGACATTAACCAAATCAGATCAAGATTGCTCAGTCGTTGACCAGACCGGACAGGGACCGCCGGGTCAATGACCTGACCGGACCGTCGGGTCGTTGACCGGACTAGATAGGGACCGTCGGGTCATGGACCCGACCGGAACTAACATCAGAGCATGACCAGATCCACCACTAGGCATACATATGCAAATTCATTGCAGCGGCACTGCGGCATTCGCGTTTTCCAAATTTGGAAAACTAGTAAAAGTCACTTCCCTAATTCATTTAGGAAAACAGAGATATATTTCATTTTTTTGGTTTTGGAAAACGATTTGGTAAACACATTTTTCTGTTTTCCTTTCTCCAGTTTTTCAGCAATTTTTTTGGTAAACACATTTTTTATCTTATCCAAATGCATCTATGACATGGACGATCTTGCGTGTACAAAGATACCCTTACACCTACGACGTTTTTTTATCTTACCCTTAAATTCCGCATTTCGCATACGCTTTCTTTCAGCTACCTACGATATTCCCCTCTCTACTCCCCTGCTCCCTTCTACTCCCTCAAGTCCTCAACCTCTCTTTCCTATCCCCAAATGGCGATTTCTACTCTGAATCCTAACGCTCCGGTCTTCGTTCCATCACTGTATCGTGCAGTAGAAGACTTCTCTGACCAGTGGTGGGACCTTATCCGCTCGTCTCCCTGGTTCCGCGACTACTGGCTTCGCGAGTGCTACGCTGATGAAGGCTCCTTCTTCCCCGATCTGGACGACTTTGATTTCTCCGGCTTTGATTCCGATCTCATCTCCGACGGGAACGGCGGATCTAAGCGTAAGTACACTAGCACAGTAGCACTGATATATCCATCTTTCAATTAAGCGAGTTCATTGCGTATATTTGTCATTTCTCATTATATCTCGTCATCTGTATGATCCAGATGAGGAGAATAAGAAGGATCTGGTGAGTTTAGGGGTCCTGAAGTGGAAAAAATCGCGTGATTTGGCGGAGGTCCCGAAGTTCGGCCGGAAGGTTCCGAAGATCGTGAACGTGAAGGTGAGTCCCAGGCCGATTCAGCAGCCGCGTTAGAGGGGTCTGATTTGTTGACTCACTGTGTTAGGTTACTGACGAGTTGGGAAATTATTTCGTCTTTGTGTCGTTTCAGTGTTTGTTTGCTTAGCATCGCTTGTACAGTTGCTTGTCTAACTCTAACGGAGTTCTGAGTTCTCCGTTAGGAAAGTTGTATCATTTTCAAGTCTTTTAGTGTAAAATGTCTGGAAAAATTACTGGGTAAATTAATAAATGTCAAAATGGACGTTTGATTGCCGATCATTGTTTATATTTTATGTTGAATTTTCGGTGATTATACGTATCCTGAGAATCTATTTTGTACACTTTTGTATTGATGATCTTACTCAGAAAACGCTTCATTTCATGGTGATTTGCAAGAATCTTTGGTAAAGCTTTATACTTTATAGTATGTGTATTTTATCTGTGGTCCGAACTATTTAAGCGCAATCTGTTTAAAACCGACCAGAAAGTTGAAATAAATTCAAGAACACCAAAGTAGCAATTTTTTGATACAATTTGTTACAAATTACTTGTACTACTAGCATTATAGCATATGTTCTAGCTTTCTTTAGAAGAAGTCATCAAACACTCATGGCCTTGTTCAAAATTATCTAATCCACCGTATAATCTCACTATATTATATCACTCATAGTCCCGGAAATGGGCAGTATCGGTCCTAGTAGCCAATAGTAAGAAAGCACCAGTTTTATACATCTTTTATGTGTGGATCATTACTCGAAGGAGTCCAAGAGCTAAGATGTTTGGGTATCTAATAAAAAACAGATGCATTTGGGGTTCTCCAATCTTCAAATGCATGGAGTATTGGTTATGGTAAATTGATCAAGTGTTTTTGAGCAGACGAAGAATACAGATGTGATTAGGCCTGGACTCGGGCCGGGTGGCCCGACCCGAAACCGGCCCGAACCGGCACGCACCGGCCCGAACCGACACTGTTCCGGCCTGGCCCGGTGGCCTGGTCCGGGTAGGCCCGACCCGCGTGGGTTCTGGTCCGGGCTCGGGTCCCCCAAATCCTGAACCGGCCCAGCCGGTTCAGGCCCGGTTCCGGGCCTTTTTAATTTTTTTTCAATTTTTTTTTACTTTTCGGGTTATGCTGGGTATTTTGGGCCATTTGGAGTGGTTCGGGGTGAATTGGGGGTGGGGGGGGGGGGGGGGTTGGGGTTAACTAGGAAAAGGAAAAAAAAAATAACAAGGCCCGAGGCCCGGCCCGGCCCGACCCGGAACCGGGGATAACCGGGCCGGTTCCGGGGCCCCCATTCTAGAACCGCCGGCCCGGGCCCGAACCGGCCCGAGTCCAGGCCTAGATGTGATAAATTTGATGATTTCTGCCTTATAGAAAGATTCATATGATGGTTCACAAGTCACAACCCATGGCATGCTCCATAACAAATGGTATTGCAGAACATTACAAGAAATAGGTCGGAAGAATATAGTACAAGTGGGTGATGAGAATTAGAAATTTGAACAAATAATTTAGAGTTGGAGCAGTGAAAACTGCTTGCTTTGCTATCAACCTATCGTTCTCAAGTGCTATTTTTGTATCCGCCTATGCAAATATGTAGAGGGATCAGTTGATTCTTCAAATCTTCATGCATATAGAGCGTGCTTGGTGATCCCGTTTTTCGTCTTATCAGACTTATTAATCAACTTTTGCACCAAACACGTAATTTTTTATTGGCTAAAGGGTCAAATAGACCCCTGAACTGACTTTAAGTGTTCAATTAGCCCCTTATATAGGCAGTGGCGGATCTTGAACCAATATATGGGATGTTCAAAATTATTTTATCTATTGCACAATAATATTGTTTGAACTACCAATTGAGAAATGTAACTTTTCAATCATCAAAATCCCAACAAATAAGGTTAAGAGCAAGAAATATTACATAAAAAAATATATAAATTATTACATCAATTTTATATATGTATTTTAACATTTTATTTTCAAAAGTTTGGGTGTTCACATGAACACCCTTGAACCAAAGAGGTCTGCCCCTGTATATAGGAGGTTCTGCCTGGCCGTTGCCAATTGGGGCGGTTCCCGGTGGAATTTGCGACGACGGGGCAGAACCTCTTATATAAGGGGCTAATTGAACACTTTAAGTCGGTTCAGGAGCTTATTTGACCGTTTAGCCTTTTTATTTAGCGTTTAGAATTGTGTAATAATAGAAAAAGTAAGGTTGAAGTTACTTTATTGGCTAAAGTTCTTGTAGAGGACCATTTTAACTATTTTCATAAAAAATTTCTTTTATTTTATTAATAAAAAATATTTTAAACATTTTTTTTTCCATAAATTAGCAAAATCAGTCAATCCAGCCACTTCAGCAAGAACATCATACATTTATGCAGAATCAAATAATCATTCAGTCAATTTCAGTGTTACTAAACCAGTTCTTTTGTTCTTGAGACATGCTAATGAAATCAAAGGCTAATGGGCTATCCCCTACTGGATCTGTGGTGGGGGATATTGGCTCCCCTAAAAAATGTGTATAGATACAAAGTGTAAATATTACTCCGTAAGACTTATAAAAAGAATATGAACCTGATTCTCCTAATATTTCTTTTGAGTTTTTGCATCTTTCAGCCCTGAATATTGTATTAGTGATACTTTTGATACCCACTTTTAAACTTCCATACTTTGACCTTCAACCATAAAAAGAGACACTTCTATTCACAGACTTCAAAGCTCCCCACATTTAGTCCAATGAGTATAAGAAAATTAACACGTTTAGTCCGTTCACTATTTTTTTGCCATAATAAGTGGATGACCGAAATGTCACTATTATAATACGGACTAGTTGAATGACACTTTTATGACAATCGAATACTAAGAGTATTAGTAACATAATAGTTGAATGACACTTTTGCACAATTAGTGTTTCATTTCATCTCAAGCTGCCGTGTGAGGGTTAACCTCTAGTTGTACAATTAAAACATTTTTCTTGTGCGCAATGTGATGCAGATACTAGCTAGATATGTGTGAAAAACTTAGTGAATTGTTCTATTCACTCAAAATTACTTGTATGAATGATTTGGGGTGAATTCATAAGAACCCATGATTAGCGAGACAAAATCAAAATTACATAAATGCTACCAAAAAAAGGTTGAGGAGTCTGTGATTAAGAAGGAAAAGAAAACAGGAATTGAAATGAAGCCCAAAAGGTCAAAAGTAAACCAACCAACACGGTAACATGGAAATAGGCCTATTGTCACACGACATTTGTCTTACAACTTCGATCTGGGAGATATTATACGGAGTATGTATACTTGATTGATTTTCTTCCACTCTTCAAAAAACAGTTGCTCACCATAAAAAAAACAGTTGCTTCAATTCTTCATATCCATCCATCCATCTATTTTCCTACTCAGTTGTTCTAGCTCACTCCTCAGTTAGCTGATTAGAATGGGTAATGCTTTGAGATTCTTGTACGGCCAGTGCTGCAAACCCTCGGCGGATTCCGATGCTCTGGGCCACCATGGCATAACGCCGGCCACCGTCGGAGTCTCCGCTCTCGCCCAAGATCTCTACAACTTTGAGATCACCTCCCAGGTACCCTCATATGCACCTTTTTTTTGTTGTTTTTGCTTCGTTTACACTCTTCAGTTGAGCCTTGAAAATACTTTTCTTTACTCAATTGGTTACATTTTTCATCTTTTATATATCCTCTTTTATTTTATTTCCTAAGGTTCCTCAAGGATTAAGCAAGCACGTAGTATCATCCAAGAAGGCTCAATCAAACTGGTAATTATATGAATTGACAACACCAATTTCATAATGAATTTGTTGACTTATAGAAAATACTTAGATTATAACGCTCCGTCCCACTAACAATAAAAAGTGGTTTATGTGCTTGATATTGATCTGATAAAGTAAGAATAGTTTACAGCTGTACAAACTTTATCAAATTTGGCATGACACAATTTTAATGGGACAGACCGAAAGGTAAAATGAGACAATCTTAACGGGACAGAAGGAATGAGTACTTATTAATTGATTAATTAAAATAATACGTAGTACTTTTACTCTGTCCCTACTTTTTTTGACATCTTTAGTTTTCTTATTGCCTCAAAATTATCTCTCTTATTTATCTCTTCTACACCATTACACCAATCTCATCCACATTATTTACCAAAGTTTTAATGGACAGAGTGAGTGCTTATTTTTTTGTTTCCATCTTTCATAATTCTGGGCTAAAGAAGTGTATTTTTTTGGTTGATATGGTCATAAACTCATATGCATTATTATCTTTCTAAATAATATCTTATCACCCAATTTTTTTCAAAGTTTATGCATTCAGATCAAATGGAACATAGGGAGTAACTTGAGGACACTGACAGCAATACTTTTATGCTAATTTGATGGTATTGAAGGTATGGGAAACTTTCAGTAGCATGGAGAGAAGGAAGGCCTCCTCAAACTCCAGAGGAAGCTTCAAGGCTTATAATCCAGACTCTGAAAGGGCATAAGAAAGCAGATGTTGAGGTGAAAATCTAAAATCCATATCTAATCCCCTACCTCTATGGAACTTAACAAATAGAACAACATTCGAACTTTTGTCCCAAAACAATTTCAATTCGTCTAATATCGATCGATATACAGAAACTTATCTATTTATATATGACTAAAATACTCATAGATTTCTAAAGTATAACTAATAAACTTACATATGCCATTATATGAGTAATAATTAAAATGAAAGAGGAAAAAACAACATTAAAACACATACCATACATGTAAAACACCATTAATTTATGAATAAAAATTATTTACTCATACTTTGAGGATTACACTTCTTTTATTCATACTTCTAATAATTTTTTTTTGAGCCGACATATGAAATCTAAGTGAAACAAAGAGACCAATACTTCACATGTATACTCTCCCTCTACTTTGCTTTCCTCAAATTATTATACTTTCATTAAATCCAAGAAGTATCATATTATTTTTTACCACCTGAATCCACTTCTACTGGGGTTGTAGTCTTCGTCTAAAGAGATATAACTTGGTCTTCTACACACATGACCGAATCATCACAATCATAGAATTTAATAAATATCTTTGTCCCTTATAATTTTACCAAATTTGAAAGACATGGACCATCATAATAAGGGACTAAAATGATCATTACAAGCTTACATTATCCCACCTAACCCTATGGCCAGCGTTACAGTAACCAACGTCATAGTGATTCCCCCGACAGTAACCAATGCCTCAGTGATCACCACTGCCTTGAGTAACCAACGCCGACCATAGTGTCGCCCCGACAGTCGCAGTTATAGCCGCCGCTGCCACTGATCTATTTTTTGGGTGACCAACTGCCTCGGTGATTGCCACTGATCATTGACTTTAGCGATCATGACTCACCTTCCAAGTGTCTCCAGTGACCAACGAACACTAACTTAGTCACCTTGTCCAATGACACAGAAAATTTGTTTTTTTTTGTAAGAAGAGCATTCTAAGTTCTATTTAGTAATACCCTATCAATCATAAGTATGGCCACTTCGTGCACAGGGATTTCTGGATTTTTACGGCCTCCCACTTCCCAGTTCTTTAGTTGAGCTGACAGATGGAGGTCCTCCGCAGCACGCACACGGGCTTAAGTTTGAACTACTTACATTGCCAGTAAGTAATATAAAATCTTTTCCCCTGACAGAATCATGAGTTTGGATGAAATGTTGTGCTAAACTTAATCTATTACTCTCAGGTGGATGCAAAAGCAGTGGCAGATGGGGACACAATAACTGTATATGTAAGTGTCACAGATCCCCGAGAGGCTTCTTGTGTTCCGAGAGATGTTGCAGCTGCTGCCCGCGAAAGAGAAACTGCGCGGGCACATAAAAATTACACAAGAGCAGATGAGCTGCATAAGCACATTATTGACTCAGGATATCGGTTTGTCAAATAACTTTTGCTTCAGAAAGAACTTTAACCTTGGGCAATAAGATTCGGAAACTTGTTTTTATGTTGTTAATCTCACTTACATAGATGTTTTGCAGATAAAAATGACAATTATAATGAAATAAACAGTAGTAAAGGGCTGAGCTAAATTTAAGTCTAGGAATATGACTCCAACGACAAAAGGTTATATTAAATTGCTATAATCGAAATCAAATATAACGTTAATATTATAGCTCAATATAAAGTTTAAGCGAAACTCATAGAATAATTCCCATTTTTAAGGATTTTTCAATAATAATTCGTACTTCAAGTATTCATAGAACTATATAAGTAATCCGAACTAGCAATTGTTTTGAAGGTTTCACAAGAATAAATTGAGGTTAATTGAAATTAATGCTCCTTTAATATTGATTTGTTAAATGATACTTCATAGTCCATATTACTCATATGGATTCAAATACCCAAGGAAATATAGGATCGCTTTACCGATATACACAGACTATGCCTGGACTCGGGCCGGTTCGGGCCCGGTTCGGGCCTGGGCCCGGCCGGGCCTCGGGCCAAGAAAGTTGGGCCCGAGCCCGAACCGCCGGTGGGCGGTTCCGGTTCCGGTTCCGGGCCAAACCGGGCCGGACCGGGCCTAACCGGTTTTAATTTTTTTTTTTTTGGCTTTTCTATTTAACCCCCAACCCCTCCCCCTCAACCCCAAACCACCCCAAACCACCTCAAATGGCCCAAAATACCTAATCCAACCCAAAACTTAAAAAAAATTCAAAAAAAAAAAAAATTAAAAACCGGCCCGAACCGGCCGGGCCGGTTCACCAAAAACTGGGCCCGAGCCCGGACCGCCCAGCAGCCGGGCCGGGCCGAACCGAACCGGTGGACCCACCGGGCCCCGGGCCGGGTCGGGCCAAACAGTAACCGGGCCGGGCCGCCCGGACCGAGTCCACCCCTAACACAGACACATACATAAAGGACACCAAAGAGCTTTGGGGCTTTAGCACATACTTGTGTATTTATATACTCCCTCCGTATTTAAATGTCACTACATTAACTTTTGGCACAATATTTTAGGATAGAATAGTAGGGATAGTGAATAGTGTAGAAAAAGTAGGAGAGACCGAGAGAGAGTGTAAAAGTATGAAAGAGAGATAAAAAGTAGATAAAATAAGGGTAGTTGAGTGTTTTATAAAGGATAAACTTACAAAAATGGAAGTGTAGGAAACTTTTAAATACATCCCAAAAAAGAATGTGTAGGGAACTGTTAAATACAGAGGGAGTATTGTGTTTTGTAATTGAGATTGGTAAAACATCATCACATTTTCAACCAACACATTATTTGTATGAACTTCTGGTTAAAGTTAATTCGACTATGTGAATCGCGTGTGATGGAAATAATAAGGGAAAATTTCTAGGATATGACTAAAACAAAATGAAGACTTTAATCACAGCAACTATTGTGGTATTTATCTCAAATAATAAACAAAATGAAGCCCCTCTGTTTTGCAGGGCAATAAGGGTGAATAATGAGGAGGTTCTGGCTCGGAAATATAGGATTCGGTTAAGGTACGATTAAAAATAAAACATTTTGTGTATAAGGTCTTATTTGGGACTAATATAAGAATGAGAGACAGAGGTATTGATGCCCCAGAAAGCAAGATGCCGTTTGGACAGGAATCCAAGGACGAGCTTGTTAAAATGGTTCAAGGGAAGAGCCTAAAAGTGATGGTCTTTGATCAGGATCGTTATGGCCGGTCAGTAGGAGATGTATATTGCAATGGCTTGTTTGTACAGGTTCGCAGTTTTGACTTCGTTTGGATTGTTTTGGCAGTGAAAACTTCCCAAAATATAAACTTCGTTTATATTATGTCAATATAAGACGGAAGAATAGAGTAGGAACTAGGTGCCTGGGTAAACTGGACCGAAACTCCCTTTGGAGTTTCGAACCCGAAACCTCCATAAGAGAGCGAGTTGGGGATCAGTTTAGTTGCACCGCTTCCTTGTAAGTTTCATGTTCAAACCTGCGGAACCATTTAAACATTTTGTTCAATGTAGGAAGTTATGCTCAAGAAGGGTCTGGCATGGCATTACACGGCGTATGATCAACGCCCAGAATTGGCAAAGGTAAATTGCTATTCTGTCCGAGTAAATTTTCCATTTTAGTCTCCATTTTTAACTTTTCTAATTTGGTGGTTAAAAAAAAAACTTTTCTAATTTGGTTCCACGATTACGCATTTACTGCCACTTTTGGTCCTTCGGGTGGAAAGGGAAGAATACCCGTCCCACTAATATTGAGATAAGAGGGAGTGACACAATTATTAAAAAAAGTATATTTATGTGATTGATATTGAATTTATAAAAGTAAGAATAAAGTAAAAATGATTTAGAGCCATGCAAACTTTACCAAATTTGATACGGAGTATGAGACAATCTTAGTGAAATTTCCCGAAAAGGTAAAATGAGACAATCTTAGGATGTTTTAACTTGGATTGTTTTCAATCCCAAACCAGACCAGACTTAAACAGACCAGACGAGACAGATAATTCAGACCAGACTTGCGTAGTTATAAATTACACAAAGACCAGACATTTACCGGACCAAACCAGACATAAACAAACCAGACCAGATCAAACCAACAAATTTCAGTCCAAGTAAATACATCCTCAGTGGAATGAGGGAGTATATAGTATACTAGTATATTTTTATAGATTTCATGAAAAAAATAGTTATGTAAAAATAAGGTTTTCCCATGCCTCCAACTTTTATCAGTATATTTTTTTTTTATTGATTTTCACTAGAAAAAAACAAAAACACTGAAAGTTTAAGATCAAGACATGGCCATCTGATTCCTTCAGACTTCAGAGGCTATGAATATGGTGTCTTTTTTATTTTTTTTTGGTGTGTTTTAGTGGGAAAAAGAGGCAAGAGCAAAGCGAATTGGACTGTGGGCATCCAAGAACCCAGAGATGCCATGGGAATGGAGGAAAGAAAAACGGGAAAACAACCAGCATTAAGGATCTAAATTTTTTAAAAAAGTGAATCTACATTAAAATGACTTCATCACCACAACTCGTTCTTAGTGAAAATTCCATTAAAAATGATTAGTGGTGGTGATATCAACTTAGCTTATATAACGACATAAATCGGTCATATATGATGATTTCATAAAATTAGTCATCAAGCACAAACCATGTTACCTTCATTGATGTACAGCATTTTCTGTTGGCAAATTGTATGTAAGGTATTTTCATTAAGGTAGATTGCATAATTTATATGAAAGTGGTTACAACTTACAAGTGTTTTTAAATGTTGAAATGATTAAATTGCTTGTATTTTACTTGATAGTTCACTTGAATACTGTAAGTCACATATTTAAAGAAAAATGAGAGCTAACGAAGGGCTGGCCCAGGTCAGGGCACCTAGCCCACTCTCACAAGGCCCATAATTTCGAAGGCCCAAAAATAAAATAATAGTAGCAGTAGTGTTAGACTATTAGTCAGTCCATGTGCAAAAAAAATTGAGAAGAGTAGAAGCTAGTCATGTGCAAAAAGTACAAAAATGATATTTGTACCCATTCTTATACCAACTTTTGTACCCACTTATGTTTGTAAAGTGTTCTTTTGTCAGTGAATCCCGGTTCACAGACAATATTTTGCATAAACAAAATATTGTCTGTGAACCGAATTCATAGACAAAAAAACAATTCACAAACATGGTGAGTATAAGGTGGTTATAAGAGTGGGTACATCAAACATTGTTGCAAAAAGTATTAGACCGTTCGGTTTTAATTCGCTAGTCCCACAATATGACAATATGGAGTACGATGTACGTAGCAGTCCAAGAAAATCAATTAACTAAATAAATACTCCGACCAATTATATGAGCGCTAAGGTACGGGATTGGGATCCTATGCGGCTCTGTCTTATGGCAGAGTACCTTAGGGGCTGTTTACTTTTTTTCCATTAAGTCTTGAATGGATTAAGACGTCTGTCTGGATTAAGCTGTCTGACTGGATTAAGTTACAATGAGATAACAAGCTGTTTACTTAGCGTGCTGAATAAGAAGTCTGAATCATGTCTAATGACCAAATAACCCTCCTGTCTGTAACATGTTTGTAACAAGTGCTGAATGTATATACCAGAAAATAATAATACTATGAATTACTTAAATAAGAGTCATATTGCATGATAAAACAAAGTTAAGAGTTTTACGAGAGCAACATTTTAAATTTAAACATTCCATACTAGTCAATTAGCAATTTCATCCCACAAATTCGTCATATATTGTAGACTTTGTGTGCCCCATTGTGGTCCATGTACTTCTTCTCCAATGTCTTCCACTTCCTCTTGTGCTTGATTGTTGATTATATTGTCATTATCCCATTCATCGAAGAATTCATCATCAATGTTAGATTTTCTAATAAATTTGTGAACCTCAAAACAAGCAATCACCACATTCCTTTGTACCACAAATGGATAAGGAGCCATTTGTTCTAAGATTGGAAATCTTGCTTTCAAGGCACCACATTCCTTTGTACCACAAAAGGTGCTATGAATCATGGAAAAATCTGGAACAAGTGAATATGAAACACAAACACAGAGATCGAATCTTCGCATAAGATCAAATTAATTGAATCCAACCACACTTTCAATCATTTGATTGAATCAACACACACTCAGAAGAAAGGAAAAATAAGGCCACAAGTAGGAGAAGCCAATGATGGGAAGAACCGTGGACATGGTAGTTAATACTAAACTAACTATATTTATAAACAGAATATACAAAGCTATCTCTATTTTAATTAATAAGACGAATAAATTGTATTATAATGCCTAATAGATACTGTTTAATACGTAATAACTTAAGGTATTAATATTAATAGAGATACTCAGTACGATTATTATAGGTATTCAACTAAACAAAATGAAAAAGCTATGTAAATCGTTGGGAGCAGGGAGAGATGCAGGTCACCTATGGGTTCAATAACTTAAGGTCTCACCTTACACTTACGCTGGGAAGAATTGAATTGTAGAGAACAAGGTTTATATGATTTAATTGCAGAGAACAAAGTTCATAGGATTAAATTGCAAAGAGCAGGGGATTCGAAAGTGATGCCTAAGTCCATGTCGATGGATGTTAAATTTAGAAAATTAATCTGTAAATAAACACATAAAATTACAACAAATTTAAGGAAACACCTAGATGATGAAGAACCAGATATGGAGATGAAGACTTAAATGCGTCAACTGTCAAGATTAAAATTTAGGGTTGAGATTGGTGAAAAAATGAAACCACACATCCTGTGCCATTGATTTTATGATCTAAAGGCTCACAATAGGCAGAGACCCTTGCCCGCTAAAGCAAGGGAGAGGAGCCGTATCCCAAGGTATGACCATACGACTGGCTTACTTTACTTTAGTTATTTATATGACATGAACAATTTATGATATTGTTGAAGTTGTTATTTACCCCCCCCCCCCCCCCCCCCCCCCGTCCCGCAAAATAGTTCCTAATTTCCGTTTTCGATTGTCCCAAAAGTAGTTCACATTTCCCCTTTTGGAAAGTTTTGAATGCCTATAATTCATTTACATTTTCTTACTCAACCACAATCATACATTTTGCACTTATTCTCACTTTCTTAAACTCCGATCCAAATCCCAGTGAGAACTATTTTATGGAACGGAGGGAATATTTAATTAAATAATCAAACCAATTTTATTTAAAATCTCGTTTAATTTTGTTATTAGGTTATCTTTACTAACTAATATGTTTATTAGTAGTAACTTTTATTTTTGACATAAAATAGATTACTCCGCAGTAATCTATCACTCTATTATCATGCATCTTTGATTTTATTTTATATTACATCTATCCCTTTTTTATTTAGTCATCTTTGATTTTTCCAGTTAAAGATGGTAACCATTTATCTATTAATAACTAATATATTTATGTGAAACTTAATGAATTTATATTTTTATGGACATATTTTTAACAAAAAACATTTGTGTATCGTTTTCATATTATCAATACGACTGTATATAAATATTTAATGGTTTAACATCATTGAATTGTAAAATCAATTTTGACTAAACAAAATGGGACAGAAGGAGTACATATCTAATTGTATTAGCTAGCAAGGAAGGCCTTTTTTCACAGGGCCCCAATTTCTTAAGACCAGCCTTGGCCCCAAGAGTCTTTTTTTACACTAGTAATAAATGTTAGATGCATTAAATGTATGTACATGTGTAGCTAGTTTATGAACGAAGCCCTGCTATGTGACAGAATGTGATGTGTGGTGTCTGATCACAATATGTTGAGTAGTGGCTAAGGTGACTTAGGACGAGGGGTTGAGGGCCCTCGTCCTTGCTTTCGTTCCTTTGCTTTGTTAAGTGAGAGTTTGAGACCCTAGTTGTAGATGAGGTGTCATAGGCTGAGAGGCCTAGACTAACCGTGGTGTAGGTGCAACATACTCCCTCTGTCCCGAAAACAACTTCCCACTTTCCTTAAATGGATGTCCCAAAATTAACTTCACACTTCAATACTTTCCTTATTTGGCAAATTATCTACATCAAAAAAGTGATAAACAGTGCCAAACAGTGTTTAAACAGTGCCAAACAATGTTTAAACAGTGCCAAACAGTGTTTAAACAGTGCAAAACAATGCATTCTATAGTAAAGTCAAATTTATTTCCTAAAAGTGTGTGAAAGTCCAACCGGGAAGTTATTTTCGGGACGGAGGGAGTATATTCTTGTACTTATGCGGTAAAAGTGGTGCCCCGTCCGCTCAAGGAACCCAAACGAAGGAATAGTCTAGTTTCTTTTTAGGCCGCTTTCATATTCATGAGTATGTGGGCTTGAGCCTAGGCCCATATAATCTCTATCATTACACCTGCTCAGCATTGTTACTGTTGTTTTTAATGTGTAACAATAACAATAGTAGTTCTGGTATCATATTGCTAATAGTGCTTTTAGTGTAGTATACATATTATATTTAATGAATTTTCTTGATAGCTGTATTATAATTGGTTTAGAATTACACTAATATTAGTCAATGAAGACTTGGTACTAATATAAATAGACGTGCTCAATTTAATAACAGGGTAGTCAATCATTTGGAATATAAGTTTTTCTCATACATTCGATCGGTGGAACTGATAAAAAATTTAATATGTTTGATAACATTGATTGGTTGAATTATTTGAATGTATAGAATAATGAAACATTATATTCAAAATATACTTTATTAATAAAATAAAGAAAAAATTATATGAAAATAGCTAAAATAATTCACTAATTCTCTACATCAAGTTCAATTCATTCAGAAAATAATTTCAATATAATGTATTTTGATCATTAAATAATTGAGCTCGCAACAAAAATTATGTACAGATAAAGTCATAAAACATGACTAATAAAATTGATAAATGAAAATAAGAATCACCAAACGATCCTAGTTCGTTACAGTGGTAATTCAAATCATCTCTCAATTAGAAGCGTAATACATAATCTCCCACTCAATTGTGATTATTAATAATAGTGCTGGGTCGGAAAAATAAAAAATAAAAAACCAAATCAAAATAAAATGGGAAAGCTATCAAATAAGCCCCGGTACTATACCGAAAAAGTCGATTAGGCTATCGTACTTTACAAATACTCAATTAAGTCCTCGATCTATTAAAAAACGTTCAATTAAGCCCTTTCGGTCGGTAAGTAACCGGTTTCCCGGTTAAATGTAACCCGTTTCCCCGGCAGCCGCCGTTGTTGGGGTTCGAGCACATCGTCGCCGTCGCCGCCGTTTAACCGGGAAACCGGTTACTTACCGACCGAAAGGGCTTAATTGAACGTTTTTTAATAGTTCGAGGACTTAATTGAGTGTTTGTAAAGTATGAGGGCCTAATCGAATTTTTCGGCATAGTACGGGGGCTTATTTGATAGTTTTCCCAAATAAAATGGATCTTAATCAATTAGATTAAACTGAACTGCTAAAAAATAAAAACCGAATGTAAAAAACCGAACCATAGTTGTTTGATTCGGTTTATGTTTTTTACCCTTTAAAATCGAGTTGAACCAAATAAACGGAACAAATATGAAATTATATTTGTTATTCCTTAAACATTTATTGCAATATCATCGATAGTCTTTGATTTTCTTGTGCTAGAAATATAATTTTGTGTTATGTTTAGTCTAGTTTAGAAATGCATTCACACATTCATGGCCTAAATTAAAATAATGTAGTTATATGCCTTTATTGATTTATTATGTCTTTTATATACTCCGTATATTTTACAATTTGTTGCATAATTGTGATATATATTTACCTGTTATTACTAGTAACTTCTATTTTTATATAACTTAAATTTTTTATATTGATATAACAAATAAATACTCATCTCAGCTATATGACATAGAACACAAATATTCATGAACTTTTTTCAAACTAGTCACAAAAAATGTACATTAAGAAGACATAAACTTTTATTCCCAAAATTTGGAAAAGTGTATTATGTCTCCCGCAAATTCAAGACATATTTATTTCTTCTCTTTTATATTTAATTTGTTCTAATATTTAGCATTTTTATGTAATATGTTTGACCTCCCAACCATCATACCATTTTAAATCAAATGATTTTGTTTTAGTAAAAACACCCAAAAAACCAAAATCGAGCCAAAACCAATTGAACTAATCAAACATGGTCTCAAGTAAAACCAAATAAAAATCCAACTAAATCGAACAAACTTGAACTAGATACTCTGTTCTAACTTTTTTGTTTATGCCGAATCCATTACCATGGGTTAATAACTTAATACTCGTAGGTCTCTCACAACAATTATTGCTCTGAACTAATTATTACAAATATTGACAACTTAATCTTAATCATTCGGGTTTGTCAAATGTTTGGTCTTGCACACTAAGACAAAAATTATTACTGGAACTATTCATTATATGCGCAGATAAGTCCAAAACTGTTTTGAATAGTTTAATAATTGGACGCATATAAACATTATTTTTACAATTCTGTGTACATATATCCGTTGCGTTAACTAATTAAGAGATGGTTTGACAACACGATTTTACAATTTATGAGGTTTATCAGTCAATTTTTTCACCAAACACGTAACTTTTGCTTTCGCGCGCTGAGTTGTGTAATAAGAACAAAAAATAAGGTTGAAGTTACTTTTCTGGCTGTATTGGCTGAAGTTATTGTAGAATGACCATTTAAACTATTTTTACATATAATTTTTTATTTATTTTATTAATAAAATATATTTTAAAAATATTTTTTTTTTAAAACAACAGAATCAGCCAATGCAGCCACTTCAGCCATAGCTACATAAATTTCAACTGAATCAGCCAAACCAACCGATTTTCGTGCTACCAAATGGGATGTAAATGTAATAAAGATATCTAACATTTTATCTCATTCTATAAATGAATGTCACATAAAAAATGATAAAATTGTAAGTCCGGAGTAATATTGTTGTAATTAGATCCAAATCTTTTATGTTGTAATGTTTTATGAAGATGATTAAATGATACTCCGTAGATGACTTGTATATTTAGTTGAAATATATGGAATAAGAACACTAGACTACATAAATAATCTTTCCGACTCTTAAAATACTTTGTGGTCAATCATGTTCAACTTTGATTAATTTTATATTTATATAAGAAGTTATTTATTATACAAAAATTATCAATGTTTTTTTGTTAAAAGTACTTTAATAAAAAATATACAGCTTAACACTTTAATAATAATATAGTATTCAAAATCATGGTAATTTTATCACCATTAAAGATGTTAAAAGTTATACCAATAGCAGGTTAATTAATGAACATTTTCCACTGTCTCTATTCGCTAACGTCAGATGCTTTTTATTACTAAAGTGCCATCAAACTGTTTCAGAACAATACTCGTATGATCTTATCCGTTCATTTACTTTTTCATACTACTGTACTTGTACTACTGAACTTGTATCATTGTATGCCAATTATATGCATTTGGTGTATCATTGGTGACATGGTGTTGCTATAGTCATTTTGTGAACAATCAGTCTTGCTGGGTTACGCTCTGGGGTTACTTTCTTTATTTGTCATTTAAGACAAAAAGGTACAAAATTTTATTTACTGATTAGTGTATCTTTTTTGTAGATCTCTCAGGTTCTTGCACGAAAACTAATATCGGTGTACACATATGTACGTTATTTTTTTATTTATTTATTACTCTGTAGTTATATGTACGTTATATATTTATTACTCTGTAGTTGTTTGTGTGGCTAAACTCTAAAGGATCAAATAGGTACATGAACTAACTTAAAGTGTTCAATTAGCCTCTTATATAGGAGGTTCTGCCCGGCCGTCGCCAATTGGGGCGGTTCCCGGTGGAATATTTTGATGAAATTTTTTGAGCATCTTCTTCATTAAGTCTAGTTTACCCATACCAATTTCAGCTAAAAATTCAACCGGGAAGGCAATCAAATGATTTTTTGAAGATAACTGCGCAGTTAAACAACACAGTACATTTCGGAAAATCATTTGACTGCCTTCCCGATTTAATATTTAGCTGAAATTTGATATGGGTAAACTAGACTTAATGAAGAAGATGGTCAAAAAATTCAACCGGGAACCACCCCAATTGGCGACGGCCGGACAGAACCTCCTATATAAGGGGCTAATTAAACACTTTAAGTTAGCTCATGTACCTATTTGACCCTTTAGCCTTGTTTGTGTAGACAAAAAGTGTTTGTACATATATAATTTTTGTTTGTGTACACAGACAGTGGCGGAGCCAGACATTTAGGGTTAAAGGGGCCGGTCCTTAACAATTTTACATTGCAGAGGCCAAAGTGTAAAATATCAACATATTTTCTACAGATTAAAAGTATTTATACATAATATATACTTAAGAATTTTTTTTCTTGCAGGGGACCGTGGCCACCTCCAGCCCTCCCTGTCTCCACCCCTGTACACAAACATTTGTTTCGGTGCAATCTAACCCTTATTTTTTATAGCATTTTTATGTTTATGTACACATTCACTCAAATAAAACCAATTTCGGATGCATTCATTTTTTTGTCTATGTCGAAAATTTATAGAATGTTAATAATGTTTTAGTTTCATCTTTCATTACAGACAATACTTATCATTAACTAGCATGATAAAGACAATATTTATATACCTTGCAAACAAAAATTCTGTTGGCTTTAATTTTACGGTGACTTTCCAACGAATTTCCGGTCATTCTCAAACAACAAATTTTTCCCGGGAAGTGATGGTGGAAAATAATGGTGAATATATTTTATATAAAAACATAGGGAAAATCCCTGAAAGACGTAAAGTATACTTTGTGGTCGTGCACAATACGTAAATTTTTGTTTCTTCTAATTTATATAAAAAGAAGGAACTAGGGAAAATCTCTGAAAGACGTAAATTATACCTTGTGATCGTGCACAATACCACATGCATGATATACCGATCTCACCATGTGATCAAACATCTTCATTAAGCATCAAAACATCATTATTGAGAATCGTGTTCTCTATTATTGTTGAGCAATGAGACTAAGCGGTCAAGCCGCTCCAATTTGATCATCCCGAGATCTAATCTAACATGCGGTGGTCGCGTGACTTTCGTCGGCTAGGAGGAGTTAGTGAGTCACGAGCAAGAGCCTCTGGTACGCGCGAGACAAGTGTCTGGCCTTCTAATTGCAAACGGAGGGCCTCAAACGAATGAGGCATTACCCATGGAGTAAAGACGAAGTAACTAGCTAGGTTGCAACGAGCGGAAATCTACTCTTTGTCGGATTGCGTAAATGGAGGAATTATGCAATGCCGATGGTGAAGGCCAGAGTTGAAGGACGACTTGAGCTTGCGGCGAAACTGTAATCACGAAAATAGGATAAAAAGATTTTCAATTAGCTTTGAAGTTCAGAATACCAATTTGTACAAATATACCTAGTTCTCCAAGGTACTGGTTGTATAATATACGTAGTTATCTTCATTCTATGGGTTTGCCCAAGTATTCTTAATTATTGAAACAATTACATTTTTAATTAAAATTTCTCAAATTTAAATGTAGCAATTATTATGAGAAATTCATCGTTTGCATTAGTGTTCTTGTTCACAGATTCAATTTCTGGTACTATACTGATTACGATATTTCCAATTACATATACGAGTATTAGAAATAGTGAATTTAAGTGTCCCAAAATTCAATTGAAATAAAACAACTCAACACCGTGAATTTGGTGTAAAATCATGATTATAAAGAATTGTTCATATACGGAGTATAATGATGATAATTGTATTACTAGTACTATTCAAATCAGCCCGATCACTCTGGTCTTTAACGTTTTTATTTTTATCTTTCATCTTCGATCAGTGTAGATAAAGACTCACCAATTATTAGAATAATTTTTTCTTGTAGCTAGTTTTATTACTTCATGCCAAAAAATTAAGGATTTTGCTTGGGGTACACAAAATGTGTACACAAAACAAAATGTGTACACATTCTGTCCTTCGGAGAAAATTTGTACTCATAATGAATTGTCTGTGACAGACAAATTTTATCCGAAGGACAGACATGTGTACACATTTTGTGTACTAAAAGCATTTTCCAAAAATTAATTTCAATTATCGATCTATAAATAAATAAAAAGGAGCTCAAAATAGGAATATAACATAGACAAATTTTTAAAATAGAATTTAATATGTTATTTTAAATAAGACTTGTTTAATCATATTAAAATGATCAAATTTATCTAAATAGAAGTGCATGAATTACATGAAGTACTTAGGAAAGAAAACAATGATACTTGTAGTAGTTCGGAAGGTAAAATGACAAACTCTAATATTTTTTTATAGAAAAAAAAACTAGTCTAATACTACGTAATATTAATGAAACTAAGTACCATTATTAATTTAGCTCCTCTGCCCACTCCATGGGAGGGATGTGGAGGCTTTGGGGTTACAGATTCCACTTTTGGAAACATTAAATGTATTGATACAACTTAATTATTAATCACATCATCGCTTTCATCTTATTGTTAGGTTATACTCAATTACACTGCAGCTGTAGCAATCAAACAAATATGGGATATAAATATATACTCCCGATTTTATTTAATTTTCACACTTGACTTCATACAAAATAAGGAAAGAAATTTGACCTTACTGTAGAGTACATTGTTGAGACACTGTTTGACACTGTTTGGCACTATTGAGACACTGTTTGATACTGTTTGACACTATAAATTTCTTTGCCAAACCAAAAAGGAAATAAGGAAGCTTAATCAATCGATCATGAATATGCTACGGCTCTCTACTTTAAGATAGAAAAAGAAAGCTTGTTCACGTAATATAAATGAAGAAGGATTTATTGTATGATTGAATAAAGTTTGGACAAAACCTACCCAAGGTTGAGCGAGACCAGTTGTAACATCACCAGATAGACAAACTCTTCACTTTCTCCATCATATCAATGGGGTCAGAAGCCAGTTGTCCCTTTTCTATTCACTACCTAGAAATTAAATTCCCAAAATCGGACTCAGTCTTCTCTATTTCTGAATCTTGTTCATCTTTAACTCATATATTGAGGAACTTCGTTTAAAGCTAACATGAACTTCTATGTAGATAACTAGAATATATATTCTCTCCCTCCCATAATTAAGTTCACAGTTTGACTTCACACAGATTAAGAAAATAAATTTGACTTTACTGTGGAGTGCACTGTTTTGCACTGTTTAAACACTGTTACACTACAAAAAAATTCGGTTGTAGTCACGGATTTAGTCACGGACCCTAGTTTAAAAAATCCGTGACTAACTCCTTTAGTCACGGATTTTGTCCGTGACTAAATCCGTGACTGTTTGCAGGGGCGTATCTAGGGTGGGGGCAGGGGGGGGCAGCTGCCCCCACTCAACCCCACCCAACCCTTTTATATATATATATATATCCAAATTAAATTTATACATATATTTTTGTTCTAAATAAAGGGTTATTATAGAGTAAGTACAAGATTTTTGATGAAAGGTGCTAGTGCTTCAACGGAAAGAGATGCTGTGTTAAGTCTTGCGTTCCAGTGAGGTTAGGAGGTCAATTCCTACTTGTAGTTGTTTTTTATGTTTTATTTCTTTTGTGCTTGAAGCCTTGAGCAAATTCTAAGTGGTTTTACATTGTTCTTTTTACTCTTTTTTTCTTGTTGGAAAGATCTAAACTACATCAATATATTTACAATTCTAGTTTCACATATGAACTGATTTTGTACATGATATATAATATTTTTTAAATATACTTGTGAATTTCCCCAATTCCTACTTGTAGTTGTTTTTTATGTTTTATTTCTTTTGTGCTTGAAGCCTTAAGCAAATTCTAAGTGGTTTTACATTGTTCTTTTTACTCTCTTTTTCTTGTTGGAAAGATCTAAACTACATCAATATATTTACAATTCTAGTTTCACATATGAACTGATTTTGTACATGATATATAATATTTTTTAAATATACTTGTGAATTTTAAATTTAAATTAATTCTAACTACATGCTCCTCCTTCCCTTAGTTGATTCATTTATATATTGTCATAATTTTTCACAAATTACAGATTCCATGTGATGAAATTATTTCAAACGAAGTGAAATTTAATTAAACGTGATATCATAATGTTTTTTATGAGAGAATATTTTGTTATTTATAATTGGTTTTACAATTTTTTTCTTAATCTGATTTTTCATGTAATTTTTTTCTTAATCTAAGGTAAATCCGCCCCCGCTGACATATTTTTCTGGATACGCCACTGACTGTTTGGGCGTGACTAAATTTAGTCACGCCAAATAGTCCGTGACTAAATGTAGTCACGGATTAGTCACGGACTAGATCCGTGACTAATCTGTCACCGGAATAGCTACTCCGGCACTTTAGTCACGACCGTAGTCACGGATTTGACCGTGACTACTTTTTCAAAAAAAAAAAATAAAAATTTCGAATTATTAAAATTATATTTCTGAGCGCCGAAAATTAAATTTTTTTGTAGTCACGGTATTAGTCACGGATGTGTCCGTGACTAATTCCCCGGAATAAAATAACCCACGCCGGAAACGGGATCGGGGCTATCGGAGGATTTTAGTCACGGATCTGACCGTGACTAAGCTTAGTCACGGACATAGTCACGGTCAAATCCGTGACTAATTTTTTTTTTTAAAATTGCGTGACTAGTCCGTGACTAGTCCGTGACAAACTAGTCACGGACCAAATCCGTGACTAAAATCTGTGACTAGAACGCTGTTTTTTTGTAGTGTTAGACACTGTTTGGCACTTTTGACACTTTTTTGATGTAGATTATTTGCCAAATAAGAAAAGTTTTGAAGTGTAAAGTTAATTTCGAAACTGCCCGAAAAGGAAAGTGAGAAGTTAATTTTGGGACGGAGGGAGTATAATCCTTACTTATGTTCTTATTTTGGGATTCAAGTACTTATTAATTAATATTATTTATAATAAGTAATTAATGCATTTAGCAGTTGTAAGAACCAAATTAATTTGTCATGTTGTACATAGTTAATAGCCCGTTACATAACTTTTATTTTCAGCTTATCAACTTTATTAGCCATCAACTATGGAATATTTTTTAGGAAAAATTGATAGTAATAATCCCAACTATTAACGGTCCGCTCATAATAATCCCAACTATTGATTATTACAGGAAAAAATGAAAATAATAATCCCAACTATTGTCGGTCCGCTAACAATAATCCCAACTATTGATTATTTTTGTATAATCCCAACTATATGAACCATCCGCCAATAATGGTCCATGACCAAATATTACCTTCTATAAAAGTGAATTTTAAATAGAAATTAAACGTAAAAATTAAAAGTTGAGATTATTTATAGAGATTACTTGCTATATCTCTTCTCATCCACTTCAGAAAGTACATGAATTTATTTACAGGGACTGTTATTGGCGGAAGGACCCTAAAGTTGGGATTATTCTGAAATAATCGATAGTTGGGATTATTATAAGCGGACCGCCAATAGTTGGGATTATTACAATCAATTTTTCCATTATTACAGAATAATCCCAACTTTAGAGATCTTCCGCCAATAATGGTCCCTATGAATAAATTCTTGTAATTTCTAAAGTGGATGAGATGAGATATAACAAGTAATCCCTGTAAATAATCTCAACTTTTAATTTTTACGCTTAATTTCTATTTAAAATTCACTTTTTATAGAGGTAATATATGGTCATGGACCATTATTGGCGGATAGTCTATATAGTTGGGATTATACAAAAATAATCAATAGTTGGGATTATTTTCAGCGGATCGGCAATAGTTGGGATTATTATTTTTAATTTTTCCTATTTTTTATTATCAAAAATGTAATTTTATTTGAACGCATAGAGTTGTCTGACTCAAATACTCAATTGATTAATATCACTACAAAAGACTATTTCATATTAGTTTTTTTAGATATAAATTTTCTTTATTCTAGTTTGAGTAAAGCTGGCTGCATAAGTTCTATTTTTTTCGTAATTCAATAGAGTCCAACAATGTAACCATTTCAGTCAAAATTTTACCAATTATAATCAGCGAATGCGATTTAGTCAATTTAGATAGGCCCACATTTCCAATCGACGTGCATGCGTACCAATCCAAGAACAGCCATGCAAGACATGACGACCTACGTACTAAATGGGGCCTTCAACTTTTTTGTCGCATTATCCAACTTATGCAAACCTGGCTGGCATTTGTTGTACTTCCTCCGTTCTTAAATAAATGCAACAGTCAACATTTCACATTTGCCGAGGCACAACTTTGACCATTAATATATATAATTCCCGATTAGTAAAAAAAGTTTAAAAAATAGATTTTGAAAATTTATAATGAGAAAATTTTAATAATATTTTTTTCAAAAATATATATTATTACATTAATAAATAAAACGTAGTCAAAGTATAACATGTGAATAGTGCAAAAAGTCCAACGTTGCATTTAAAAGAGAACGGAGGTAGTATGAGGTTACTCGAGGTACATACTTGTTCATTCAATCCCATTAAGTATGGAGATCAAATCATCAAACGTATTTATGTATGGTAGGGTGTTGGAGCCCATCAGCCCGACCCTTGAGGATATAAGCAGGGTTCACTCCAGATCTTTCTTGCACTTATTAACATAATAATGTTTCTAGCCTTCTAGCTAGGCATGCATAAAGGTAGGCAATAGCGATTTAGAAACAACAAAAACAAATATTTACCCATGTCAGCGTTTTCAATAAGAGAAACATTGTTTGGTAAATAATTGTTTGCCCCTAGCATTTTTGAGTTGAAACGCGAAAATTGAAACACTGCTAATAGTTACGTTTTGAGATAGGGCATTTCATACTAATTGCTACGATCAAAGAGCTAAGTTACCAAAAAAAGTTGCAACCCACCAACTTATTCTGTAATCAAATCTGCCATCTGAATCCACTATTGATCATCTCACTAACATAATACGAAGTATGTTATTCACTAACGGCCAACCGCTAAAGTCAAACACACCCATTGTTAGGATTTGAGAGTAAATTGTGATGAAGATCAATTATATTAAAGTTAAAATAGCAAATGACACTAGGTAGGGTCGTCCTTAAGATTATGCTGGTCCTAAATGAAAAAAAAATCAATACTTGCATAACATACTAATGTGTTTCCTTAACACTATTTATTAAAAAATTATTATATGATGAGAGGAATTGAATAAAAAGTATATGCCGAATCTATTGTTTTGTAATAAAAGTAGCTAGTATCCTTCCATGCATCATCCCATTTGTGAAAATAAAAACTAAACGAGGACTACAATCAAATTAATTAAAAAATTACGTCAATAAATTCGTTTAATTTCCTAATGGCATGCTAAAATTATTATTGGATGAGTGGATGGGTTATAAGTTGGCAAGACCGTCTTTTAGGAGGTGCAATAGGTGCTTGGCACAGGGGCCCACTCTTGTAGGGGGACTCCAAATATTTAGAACGTGGTATTAGTTATAGGTTGATTTTTCTAGATGTTATGCACTACTCAAGATTTTAAAAGGTATGTAACTTTTAGATTCTCTAATTTGTGTACTTTAGACATCATAAAACTTATATTTCATTGAACTGTCAAGTCTAATTGTATTTCGTTGTTAAAATTTGTATTTTTTTCTTGTTTTAGGGGCCTCAATTTGCCATTTGGAACCGGGGCCTCCAAATTCATTAGACGGCCCCACTGGTTCGAGGGCTGACGGTTGTCTGCGGTCCTTATATCGTTTTAACCTCTTTCTGAATGTTTATGCTGTGATATCAATGTA